GGAGCTTCGTCCGGCACGTAGATTCCACTCGGCCTATGTTAGGAGGAAGTTTTTTGCTGCCCTAGCTGCAGTGCTCAGTTATGTCTCCTCTGCCCCCACCCCGCCCCCAGTGACCAGGCTTTGGACCCAGCCCCACCAGCTCAGCCACGCTCCCCCGCGTTTCTGTGATTTCTGCGATATTTTCCAGTTCCGCCACTGTGGGGGTGCTTCCTGGCCTCTAACGGGGCGTCTCTGCCGCGCCGGAGCTCTGTCTCCTGTTCTTCTCATACGACTGCATTTTTTCCAGTACTAACTCCTCATCGGAATGGTGATGAGGATGCTGAGCTTAATTACCCATAAGGACTTGATTCATTCCTTGATTCAGTATTTTTAACATAGATACTACATATATTTGCACGTTTATATTTAGTTACAAGGCATTGTAATAGACACTACATACAAAATTATATTAAAAGCGGGGGTTAGAAAAATATACCTAATAATTTAAACTAGGAGTTGCCTCCTCATAGAGCACCCCTCAGGTAAAGGTACCCCTGCTCGTTCCAGACAGAGTTGCTCTTGTTCTGGATCATGGGGCGTGGGTGACAGACACGCAGGGTGAGTCACGCTGCCTCAGGTCTTGGGTGGTGAAGACAAAGCTGGGCTCCCGCTGGGTGCGCGGTGTGTCCAGGGTCCTGAAAATCCTTCTGGCCTTCGCTCCCCAGATTCGGTCGCCTCCCCTCCGGTTCGAGATGTCGGCATGAACCCAGCTCTGGTCTTCCCCAGCTCGCCCGCCGCTGCTCCGGGCTCAGAGACAGCCATCTTCAATAAGGCAAATGGTAAATGTGGCCACTGAAGGACGAGGGGACTGACAATGGGAAGTTAATGCAAGTAACGTTTGGTTCTCTGCGTGCACGTCTGAGTCCCGAGACCTTCCTCTGCGTGCTCCAGGGCCTCTCGGCCTGCTCGCTGCTCCTCCTGTGGCCGCCCTCCCCATCCTTATTCTCGCTCCGGGGTGGGGGCGGGGGGTCTCCTTCTGCTCAGCTGTCTTCATTGTGCTGTGACCTTACCCCTCTTGAAAGCGCTCTCTGTCTCCAGCTGAATTTCCTGTCTGCTTCTAAACTCCAGATATTAAAACACTTTTAAATAACATTTGTCTTGAATATTTCATTTGTCAGCAAGGACAGGATTTGCCAACCTGGCGCTTTAATCACTGAGGTGATGTAAGAAAGGTTATAAAAATTTAGAACCCAGAGTATCTGCGGACGGCACGCTCGCGCTTTCCAAGACCGCCCTTCTCGTTCCGGGCTCCGTCACTGTCCGATGTCCCTCCCGGACTGATGCTATGACGGAGTAACCGTGCGTTCTGTTGTGCTGTGGCTTTATCTTTCAGAGCTGGGTTTGGCGGCCCCTCCAGTAACGAAGAGCCCTCCCAAGCTGGAGGGCGATGCCACCGATGGCTCCTTTGCCAATAAGCACGGCCGCCATGTCATCGGCCACATTGACGACTACAGCGCCCTCACACGGCAGATTGCGGAGGGCAGACTGCTGGTCAAGAAGATAGTGTCTCTCGTGAGATCAGCCGGCGCCGGCCCTGGCCTTGCGGCTCCCGGCACAGAGGTGATCACAGCATAGCTCGTAGGTGCCCCTGTTCCTTGTGCCCTTCGTTCTTCCGATTCTAGCACCTTCTCCACTTTGCTTTCACGCTCTACATATCGCAGCGGAAGATACTTCCTCCGTCTGCACCCCGTCAGGCCTTTCTTCTCCAGCTCTTTTCGCTGGCAGCTCTGCTCTGCTGCAGACGCGGCTGACTTGGTGTCCCCGCCAGAATCACCCAAAAGCCTCATCCTCGTCGGTAGAGCATCTGTGAGCGTCAACACCCAGTGGCCTGTGCCCAGCACCCTTTAGTAGCTGATCATCTGCTACGGTCCCTGGCACATGGCCGGCTGTGGGCAGAATAAAATCACTTAGCCGGGTGTCTAGAAATCGAGAATGCGCACCCGTATGTGCCACGTGCGTAGAAGGGGCGAGAAGCCTGGCAGCCCCGGGCCTTCCCTGTTTGAGCCGGGGAGGGAAGTGGGCAGCGGGCCTCCTCGGGGCGCCTCACCGTGGAGAGGCCAGGGACCAGGCACTGCGCTGTCTGCGCCACTGGAGATGCAGGGACACACAGGACAGGCCTGCCCCCAGGGGCCCCCACACTAGGGAGGAAGACGCACACGCGGGCACCTGCGTCGGAAGAGTTAGGGTCGCCCTCTGGGTGCGGGGCTCGGACACCGGAGCAGCTGTTCTCCCAGCGGAGGAAGCGGCGGGGTCTCGCATGCCCTCTGTCGGGGTGTCTCCCGCCCTGACACCAGGAGGACACCTGTGTGTGTTGGGGCGGAGGGGGTTTATTTTCTGCTTTCATGGGAACAAAGGTGGGTCTTTCTCGCACCTGCTCTTTCTTAGCGTTAATTCAAATTAATCAGAGTGCCGAAGTGGCATATTTTGCTCCCCTTCAGAAGCCTGGAGCAGGACCAGAAGCTTAAAGGGAGAGTGGGGGGAGCTGGGACCAAGGGAATTCTTGCGAGCAGGCGGGCACCGCTGACGTCGGGGGTGCCGGGCTTCTGGGTTAGCGAAGGGCTTCAGGGGTGCAAGCAGGCCGTGTCTGTGCCCCGCTCACAGAGGAGGCTTGAGCCCTGTGTGCGAAAGAAATAGAAGGGGACCCTGCGGCCCCAGCGAGGCCCGTGGCATCGCCCCTCTTCCAGGTGCTGGCCGGCGACGGCGTCCGCGAGCTCCGCAGCAGCGCCTGCGCCCTGCACCGCGCGCTGGACGAGGCGACGTCCCTCCTCACCGTGTTCTGGCGCGCGGCCTCGC